GTAAAGTACAGATACTCAAAAAGTGTACTTAAGTACAATACTCAAGTAAATGTACTTAGTTACTGTCCGCCTCTGTACACATCCGATATCTTTCTCAGCTGTTCTCGTTCACTTATGCCGAGTTCACACTGCACAATTTTAGCCCGATTTTTCACTCGCCGACAAGTTTTTGCGAAATCGCCGACAAATGCCCGACATCCGATTTGGAATCACAAACTTGGCTGCATTTGAGTCTTCAAGCATTTTGAGGACACAACATCGTCAATTAAGTCAATTTAAGGTATGTTACAGTATTCACTGTAGTTGTACGCTAGTAAAAACAGTTTTATCAGTCATTATCCATGTACGAACCAGCGCAAACAGATAATGTTACCTCACAAAGTTAGCCATCAGTCTCCTTGCTTACGTTGAGCATACCAGCTTATTTATGGTTCAAACACATATGGCTTAATTAAACCAATATTTCCTCTTGCCATTGCCATTGTATCGCGTTTACTACAGTCCAGTACAGTTCAGGAGGCACTGACTCATGGCTGGCTGCTGTGTGACTGAGTGGAGGCGGGGCTAATTTGCGTATTCATAGATCCGCGTATAGTAAATGAGGCAAGGGTGTAGAGTTGCATTCAAGCTATTTTAAGGCATGACAAAATTATTTTCACAAGAAAAAACATTTAAATATGTCATTTTGATGATCAAAGATGAGTTTTAAAGGATATAATTTTGGACTACAGGGGGACTTTAATAAAGACAAAACTCTTTAGCGTAGGCTGATGAAACTGACCTGCACCTGAAGCCCTGAACAGGCATTTTTGCTACATTTCGCTGCTTCTTCTGGCTGCTTCCTCTCCTTCATCGTGTCCCGTGCGCATCGACTCTGTTCAAAACCGTCGTTTGAAGCGCAGAACAGATGTGAGCCGATTCCTATAGCGCAGCGCTGCCAGTCAAGACTAACCGATTTATATTTTATTATCGATTAATTATCGTATGACAAAATCGTAAATTATCACTTTGGAATATTGAGAAGGCAAAAATATAAAATATTAATAATAATAATAACTTAAAAAAAAAAAAAAAAAACAGGGCAGAGGGCCAAATCAGTCAGAATTCTCCCAGTGCTCCCGATGGCCAGTCCGGGCCTGGACATGAGTTGTTCAAAACACATTTCCTTGATTGTATTAGACGATGACGCATGATAAAGGGAGTGTCGAGAACAATTGTGAAGTCACGATTCTATCAGTTTCAAATCTTGGCGTTTCAGAAGGGTAGAAAAAAATGATTCATATTTTACTGGGGAGTTCGGAAACTTGCAGTATGTTTTTTTTATTGTAGAGTAACCTTTTTATTGTTGTATGTGTAACGTTTTATTGTTATATGTGTAAATATCAAGAACATTTTGATTCTCCATTTCATGACCCCTTTAATTTTAATGTATTTAATAATTTCATTTGCTGGCTTTGCCAATCATTAACTTAAAGGGATAGTTCACCCAAAAATAAAAATTATGTCATTAATTACTCACCCTCATGTCGTTTCAAACCCGTAAGACCTTTGTTCATCGGGCCAAATCAGCCACCAGGCCACCGGGAATTCACCGGGAGCTGCCGATGGCCAGTCCGGGCTTGCTGTTCACCAAGCTTACAATTAAATATCATATTTGAAATCACCAATGAATCTGACAACAACTGCCTCATAACGCATTATGCTCAAATAGTGATAAAAAAGCAAATTTTTCAGGCAGTCGTGAGCACGAGTTTGGCCCAGAAAGCGGAGTCCAGCGGCCTGGTTTAAGGTTTAACGCGTGTTCGGTCTTTTACTTGCGCCTCTGAATTTATCAGGATTTAGTTTAAATTTTAGTCTAGCTTCGTGTTCAATCTGATTCCAATTTCAAGTGATAATTACATTTAGGCAATATTTCTAATTAAAAACTGGTCAAAAATATCGATTGTATATTAATTTAGATATTTGATTATTCTAGATCTTCCATATATTAAATTATTCATTCATTGGGGACCTAATGTCTCATTTAATTCTCACGTTGGCCTTACGTGGACCTTACGATCACAAACTCGCCAGTCTGATTTTAGTCAGAGGGTGTAGGTAGACTAATACCTGTTTGCCCGCCTCCTACCGCTTGCTTATGACAAAAAGTGTAGTTTACTTAAATCTTTTCCCATACAACTTGCTAACATCAGCGATAGACAGAAATCAGGTGGTCTCCAATGATGTGCCTACTGCTCCTATCATTCATGAGCCTTCAGTTTGACCTACCCTGGCCGTAGATTTACGGTAACAAAAGCCTCCTCACAATTTACTAGTCATAATGCTTTCAGGAGAGTTCAGAATAAATCAAATATAACATTTTATTATTAGTCAGGTAAAATTGTATCATGCCAATTACATAATGAAACAATTAGAAGCCAATTTAAAAAGGATAATGCAATTGTGAATCACATTGTAGCCGCGTGGCAACCCTGCTCCTGTACATAGACACTGTAGTTATAGGAATAGCCAAGTGTTCCACGCAGGAGACAAACAAATTTAACAGTCACACATGTAAGTTATCCTAATTTAACACAAGACACATGGTCTAGAATGCATAGCATCTACAACCTTTTGCCTACGCATTTCAAAGAACACTTACAGCAAAGCAATCATGTGTTTTAAAGAATAAACTTAACTTGCCTATGTGCACATGTAGTAGCACAAACAACTATGCAGTGTGTTCTATGAGCACAATGTGTTTAACACAATTACACTTTTGAATAAAAAACGAAATGCATACCTGACAGCAGAGAGACACACAGCAGTATGTGAGTTCTGGTGCAGAGCTCCAGATTCACATACGCTGTGGGGGTTTCTGGCAACAGAATCCCAATGACTGATTTGCAACTTTCCCTTAAATACTACCAGAACAAAAGGGCCATAAACATTTATTCTCGGCCCCAAAAAGATTACATCTGTGTATGGGGGGTGAGAAGCCTCTGTAGTAGCTGTTCTCACGCCCAAATGGTCACGCCTGGTGTAGAGCAATGTTTATCAGATTTTTAAAGGAGACAGCCCACAATCAGAGTATGTGAGCGGAGCGAGGAGTGGAGCGGCGTGATTTTGCCTGGAGCTAGGAGCACATTTTTTTAAAGTCGGAACGGAACGCTACCGCTCCGTCACGAGCACAAATTATGCCAACTCACGCATTAAACATAATTAGTTAGCTTGACAGATATGTGGATCACATATGAAGGTTAAAATGGCGATGGACGAGTGCGGGAGGTTAAAGCATATTGTAAGTTGTACAGTTTGTTAATCTCCGCTCGAAACTAATGTGCTGCTACATTGCTGCACACGGACAGAACACTTTGCTTCCTTTGCTCCTGTAAACAAACGTTGGTTTTCACAAGTCTCACAGCATGCGCAAAGCTGAACTCATACGTCATCCTCCCGGAGCTGGTTCCGTGTACAACTGTTGGCGCAAGCTACATTAAAGTGATTATTATGTTTTGAATATGGATATTTTTCTTGACAGTTAGCGGAAGTGAGAGAAAAGCTCCCCCCGGAGCTGTGTGAGGCACGTTTAATTATGGGTGGATGCTCTTTATTTGACTACTTTTGGACTGTTGAAAAAAAACCCTGCCCACTGCCATTATAAAGCTTGAAAGAGCCAGGACAATTTTTAATATAACTCCGATTGGTTTCATCTGAAAGAAGAAAGACATATACACCTAGGATGCCTTGAGAGTGAGTAATTTATGGTAATTTATTATTCACTTGGCTGCTAACACGCACGTGCAGCGGAGAAAATGACAGAGACAGAGATTATATCTAATCTCCATCCCTGCCGAAAAAAAAGTTAAAATCTGCAGTATGGGAATACTTCGGATATTAAAAAAACCGAACGCGGGGTTGTCCTTGAAGATGGATCCAATTTGCAAAAAAATGTGGAGATATGATATGTGTCTGTGAATATTAAAGCGCAGAGACTGCTATATAAATAATGTTTCTGCATGTCTCTGAGCTGCTCTGAGAGAAAACCTAAATAAAGTTCACTCACTTAGCACACGCATCATTTGGATTAAAACTAACTCGTAAAAATAAGACCATTTATAGGGGCATTCACTATAAACGTCATTTATTTTTAACCTTGGGCATACGACTTTCTGGCGAAAGTGAATCTAGCAGCCTGTGTGAAATGCGCTAGGCTATACTATTCTGTATCAGTACAAATACGTGCACGCGTAGCGCGTGTTTTGCTTGCTTGAGTGTTTCTGCATTATATGAGTGGCTTTGGAATGTAAATCGCAGCACGTTTCAGATGAAAAAACGCGACTTCTATTTCTGAAAATATCAGTTAGGAGATTTAT